GGGGAGGCAACCTAGTGACAGAGGATGTGGAAAAAGCTGAAATACTCAATGCTTTTTTTGCTTCGGTCTTCACAGACAAGGTCAGCTCCCAGACTGCTGCACTGGGCAGCACAGCATGGGGAGGAGGTGAGCAGCCCTCGGTGGTGAAAGAACAGGTTAAGGACTATTTAGAAAAGCTGGACGTGCACAAGTCCATGGGGCTGGATGCTCTGCATCCGAGGGTGCTGAGGGAGTTGGCAGATGTGATTGCAGAGCCATTGGCCATTATCTTTGAAACTCGCGGCAATCGGGGGAGGTCCCGGACGATTGGGAAAAGGCAAATATAGTGCCCATCTTTAAAAAAGGCAAGAAGGAGAATCCAGGGAACTACAGACTGGTCAGCCTCACCTCACCCTGGAAAAATCATGGAGCAGGTCCTCAATGAATCCATTTTGAAACACTTGGAGGAGAGGAAGGTGATCAGGAACAGTCAACATGGATCCACCAAGGGCAAGTCATGCCTGACCAACCTGATTGCCTTCTGTGATGAGATAACTGGCTCTGTGAATATGGGGAAAGCAGTGGACATGTTATTCCTTGACTTTAGCAAAGCTTTTGATATGGTCTCCCACAGTATTCTTGCCAGCAAGTTAAAGAAGTATGGGCTGGATGAATGGACTATGAAGTGGACAGAAAGCTGGCTAGATCGTCAAGCTCAACGGGTAGTGATCAAAGACTCCATGTCTAGTTGGCAGCTGGTATCAAGTGGAGTGCCCCAAGGGTCGGTCCTGGGGCCGGTTTGTTCAATATCTTCATAAGTGATCTGGAGGATGGTGTGGATTGCACCCTCAGCAAGTTTGCAGATGACACTAAACTGGGAGGAGAGGTAGATACACTGAAGGGTAGGGATAGGGTCCAGACTGACCTAGACAAATTAGAGGATTGGGCCAAAAGAAATCTGATGAGGTTCAACAAGGACAAGTGCAGAGTCCTGCACTTAGGATGGAAGAATCCCATGTACCGCTACAGACTAGGGACCGAATGGCTCGGCAGCAGTTCTGCAGAAAAGGACCTAGGGGTTACAGTGGTTGAGAAGCTGGATATGAGTCAACAGTGTGCCCTTGTTGCCAAGAAGGCTAACGGCAAATTGGGCTGCATTAGTAGGAGCATTGCCAGCAGATCGAGGGAAGTGATTATTCCCCTCTATTCGGCATTGATGAGGCCACATCTGGAGTACTGCTTCCAGTTTTGGGCCCCCCCACTACAGAAGGGGTGTGACAAACTGGAGAGAGTCCAGTGGAGGGCAGTGAAAATGATCAGGGGGCTGGAACACATGACTTACGAGGAGAGGCTGAGGGAACTGGGATTGTTTAGTCTGCAGAAGAGAAGAATGAGGGGGGATTTGATAGCTGCTTTCAACTACCTGAAGGGGGGGTCCAAAGAGGATGGAGCTTGGCTGTTCTCAGTGGTGGCAGATGACAGAACGAGGAGTAATGGTCTCAAGTTGCAGTGCGGGAGGTTTAGGTTGGATGTTAGGAAAAACTTTTTCACTAGGAGGGCGGTGAAGCACTGGAATGGGTTCCCTAGGGAGGTGGTGGAATCTCCATCCTTAGAGGTTTTTAAGGCCCGGCTTGACAAAGCCCTGGCTGGGGTGATTAAGTTGGGGTTGGTCCTGCTTTGAGCAGGGGGTTGGACTAGATGATGTCCTGAGGTCTCTTCCAACCCTGATATCTATGATTCTATGACGCCCTGGGGGGCATGGAGCAAGGCAGTGAGTTGGGGGTTGCTGGTTAAGACCAAGGCTGCCTTGGACATCCCCCCCCATCCCCACCCCGGGTGAGCTGTGGTGGGCAGAAGGCTGGCGTGGGGATTGAGCCAGGAGGCCCAGTCCGAGGGGTAGGGAACACAGGATCCACACCAGGCGGCTGTCCTGGGGACCCCGATCGCATACTGTCCTGTGCGCTCCAAGCGGGAGCCTGCCCAGCAGAGCAGTTGTCCGTTTCCAGGCTGCCCTGCCGGCCTCGCCCTGTGAAAGCCAAGCTCCCTTCCTCACCCGGACATCAGCCTGAGAGGGGCTCTTTGACCCCTTGCAGCTCTCGCTTCCCCTCGAGGCATCTGAGCAGTGGGGGCCAGGGGACAAGGGCTTGGGCAGGACTCCTGGGTTCTGTGGCCTACTCTTCTGCTCACTGACCTTGCGTGACCTTGGGGAAGGCACCTCCCAGCTCCAGGCTTGTTTTCCCGTCTGTCCAAGGAGACTCGCGATCCTGACCCGTCTTCACAGGGCGCTGCAGGCTTCTTCTTAATGCAGGTGGTACTGCAGGATTCATCACCGAACGTGGTCTGTTGGTTGGATCGTTAGCTTCCCCGGCTCGGGCCGGGCACTGATGGGGAGCATGACGTGAACACTGATCCATGACCCCAGGAACCAGCTTTCCAAAGGAAGGGGCTAGAGCACCAGCCCTGGAGAGAAACACCAGTGGATAAGCCGGATTCCTCTCCCCACCTTAGCCCTGGTGGGTGCAGTGGGTGGGACTCAGGAGTTGCAGCTCCTGGAACCCCGGGCGGCCCGGCCTGGTGTGAATTAGAGCCATGAGGATCACGGGGGGAGCTCTGCTCGGCCCCAGCCCCTCCCTCGCCTTCAGCTGGCGTTTACACATTTTAATTAGTTTAATTTAATTGGAATGAATACTTAACAATCTAAACATTTTCAGGGCCGCCCACAATCTTTCGACCCGGACCATGGTTTCCGCAGGAAGCTTTCGGCCTGTTGGAAAATCTTCAGCTCTCCAAAGCCGACAGATTTTCGGCTTTTTGTTGGAAATCACCAAAAAATCCGAATGGGAATTTGGAAGGACCCCCCCCCCCCCGATTTTCCCCCTCCAAATTTCCCACACAAAATAATCGGCATTTTCTGAGCAGCCCGGTGTGGAGGACGGCAAAGCCTCCACTGCCAGCTCCGTAGGCGAGTCCCCTGCGCAGGGAGTTCCCTGACGGTGTCTCCAGCAGCTTGACACCCCCTGCACCCCACGGAGCAGAGACTCCAGCCCTAGGTCAGATCAAACCAATCACTCTGCTCCCAGGCAGGGCGATGAACAAAGCAGAGAGAGGGAGGGGAAGGGTAACCCAGTGGTTAGAGCTGTATCCTGGGACTTGGGAGACTCTGGGTCAGGTCCCCATTCTGCCACAGGTTTCTCATGTGACCTCTTGGGCAAGTCACATAATCTGGCCTCAGTTTCCCATCTGCACCATGGGGGATTGTGATGCAGAAAGCAAACATCTGCAAAGCTGCATCCTCCTTACCCCCTCCTTTGCCACCGGGCACTGCTATGCTGAGACAATGCCCGCTGTGCGCTTTCCTTGAACTCCTGTCAGTCTCCACCTGATATGTGTGAATCCAGGACTTTTCTCTCGCCTCTCGAACATGCCAGCTGCCCCGGGCCGTCTCCTCTGCTGCCGGCAAGCCAGTCGGGGGCAGCATGAAATGCCCTTTGTGGAATGGGAGCGCCACCTTGGCAGACATACTGGCTCCTACCAGAAGGGGTCGCAGCCTGCAAAGGGGGTCCCTTCCGGAGCAGCTCATTCTTACTGTTGGAGCCTCCCTGCCCCCCTGAAATGCAGCCCCCCGACCCAGTGGAGGAAGGGGTCCCTGAATCATGCCTGCGGCGTGGTGGGAGGGCGCTGCCAAGGCGCTACCAGATCTCTGCCCCCAAGGGCTTACAGTGAAAGGGCAACAGAAGCAGACAAGACAAGAGGGAACACAGAGCAGGGAGTGACTCTCAGAGCATGGAGGAGTCCCAGCAAGGCGGGATTCTCGCAGCGCTGGGCACGTTCCAGCCACGTGGGGAGACGCAGGGGGCAGGAAGCAGGGGGCAGGGGAGGGATGGACGGAGGCAGGGCTGGAGGTATGGAGAGCTTGGACGGGCAGGAGATCTGGCTTGAGCTGTGATGCAGAAGCAGCGTGGGACCTAGGGCAGCAGGCGAGGGGCTGCAGGGGTTTGGGGGGGCCTGCGGAAGGGGCACCCGACCAGGAATCAGGAGGTCTCAGTTTCGCTCCTTTATCTGCCACTGCCTCACTGTGAGAGCTGGGGGGAGTCCCCTGCCCTGGCCCTGCCTCAGTTCCCCCTCACTGCAAAGTGACAGTGATGATACCGACCCAGCTTTGCAATGAGCTTTGCACTCTGTGGAGGGAAGGGCTGTGGCAGGGCTGTCTGCTGTGGGGGTGGGGGGGGGGGGGAGGGCAGCAGACGGACCATGGGCTGGGCAGGCCAGACAGCGGAAGGTTGCAGCAGGAGAGAGCCCAGCCTAGGCTTGGCGATTGGGGCGATCGGGGCGGGGTGAAAGGGGTGAGACGTTGGGAGCTAGGAAGGGAGGGAGTGAGAGAGGCGCACCAGGCTGCGTGGGTGCAGGGCAGGGGGCTGGAGGGGTCCCCGGAGAAGGGGTCAGGGGGGCGGATGGTGGGAGGCACAGCATAGAAAGAGGCAGAGACACCTTCAACCCCTGTGGATTGGACCCTCCGCGGGTGCCTGTGGGCCTGTGCTGTCCTTGGCATCCCCTCCCCCACCCCCGTGGGTGAACCCCTGTCATCCCCTCCCCCAGGGCAGCACTGAGCGCCTTGCTCAGCGCTTAGAGGGGAAGAAGCAGCGCCAGGCACTCGGTGGGGCCCCAGGTGAGCCTCCTCGTGGGAGGGCTGCCTGGCTCCCGGGGGCCGGGGGGGAGGCTCTCGGAAGGTCGCCCCCCTCAGCACTTCCCCGGGGCCTCAGGGCAGGCATCACCACATCCCAGCAGCTCCCAGCCCCACTGGCGCCGACCGGCCTCCGTGCTGGAGACCTCAGCAGAGCCCAGGGCGTTCTGGAGGCCGAACCAGGCCTTGTCGCCGCCCCGGCTGGCCCGTCGGTCTGCTGGGAGACCCTGACTCCTCTGGGCTGGGCTGACCCCCCCGGGGCCCCGTCCTGCCTGTCCCCCGGCCGGACCCCCTGCTTTCCCAGCCTCTGACTGACCCCCCGCCCTTCGCTTCCTCGCAGGCTTCCGGGAGAGCGCCTTCGCCTACGCCATTGCGGCCGCCGGGGTGGTGCACGCCGTCTCCAACGCCTGCGCCCTCGGCAAGCTGCAGGCCTGCGGCTGCGACCAGAAGCGCCGGGGGGACGAGGAAGCCTTCCGCATGAAGCTGCACCGGCTCCAGCTGGAGGCCATGAACCGGGGCAAAGGGATGGTGCACGGGGTCCGCCTGGAGCACATGCCGGCCGAGGCCCCAGGGCTCCAGGACTCCTGGGAGTGGGGGGGCTGCAGCCCCGATATGGACTATGGGGAGAAGTTTTCCAAGGATTTCCTCGACTCCCGGGAAACCTACAGGGACATCCACTCCCGCATGAGGCTGCACAACAACCGTGTCGGCCGGCAGGTGAGTCCGTGCGCGCTGCAGGCAGATCTCCCCTGGGGGGCGCCGTGGTGCACAGGGGCAGCAGGGGCAGACACGGCAGCACTGGGGGACATCCCCCCCGCTCGATGCCTCTGCGAGGGGCAGCCAGGGCAGGTTCCTGGAATGGGGGGCGGGGGAAGCTGCTCACGCCCACAGCTGCTCGAAATGTTGTTGAATGAAAATTTTGACCTGAAACGGCCTTTCCACCTACGGTGGCCAGTTGTCCCAATTTTATAGGGACCATCGTGATTTTGGGGTCTTTTTCTTATAGAGGCTCCTATTACCCCCCACCCCCATCCCGATTTTTCACACTTGCTGTCTGGTCGCCCTATTCCACCAAGCTGGCGTTTCTGCCAGAAAACTCCCACTTTCCTCTGCGTCTTTTGGAAGCATTTCTCCGCATTTCGTTTTGGTGGTGAAAATCCCCCCCTTCTCCCTCCCTTTGGGTTTAAATCCCCCGCTCTCTTTTCCCACCTCGAGGGAAGCAAATCATCTGAAAAGATTCAGAGCGAAGCAGAGTCGGGATTGTTTTGGTTGGGTTCTGGGTTGTCTGACAGAGACAGGAATTGGGGTTTGGTTTGGGGCACCTCAGCCAGACCAGGCTGGAAAAGAGAGCCTGGGACTCCCCCGCCTTGCAAACATCTTCCTCTTGCGGGAGCCGTGGCATCTTTGCCAGAGAGACCCGCTCTGCACCGGGGGGCTTGCTCCTCGCACCGTCACACGGCTGCACAGCCCCGCGGAGGGCATCACATGATCAGAAGCTCTTTGCACTTCTGCAGGGCGCCTTCCAGTCCATCCCCATTAGCCCCCATCCGGGCCGCGTGGCGCTGGGCGTTGGGCAGACGGATCAGGATGGCCCCTGCCCCAGAGAGCTGCCAGGCCACAGGTCGGACAGGGCGCGATCGGTAGAGGAAACAGGCAGAGAGGGGGAACAATAAGCCGAGAGCAGCAGCCCCAGCTCAGCACTTGCTGGGCCAAGGCTGGGGGGGGGGGGGTTGGCTGGCGCCGCAATAGAGGTGGGTTTTCAGGAGGGAGCTGAGGTAGCGGTTGCACTAATGCTGACGGGACGTTTGTCCCGTGTGTGGACGTTGGGCGGGGGGGAAGGGATGTCCCACCACCCACCACTGAGCGGCAGCCCCCTCGGGGTGTGACGTGGCAGCTGGTACACAGTGCTCAGCAGGGTAGGACGGGACCTGGAGAACAAGAGCTGCGGGGGCACTTTGGGGGCAGAATGGAATCGCCCCACTTGGAATTTGGCCAGGCTTTGCTGGAAAGGCTTCAAGGGAGCCACAGCCCTTGGGGGCCAGGGAGCTGTGTGTGCAGGTGGGCAGGTGTGCATGTGTGGGTGTGTCCATGCACACCGGAGGGGTCAGCAAAGCAAAGATGGCCTGGTGCACAAGGGTGCAGGGGTGGCGAGTTATATACACTCATGGTGCCTGGGCTCCACCAATATTCAGGGCCCGGGGGCCCGGCTCCACCAATGTTTGGGGCCGGGTCTCTCCCTCGCCCCTGCCTGCCGCCCCCCTGCAGCTCCCCCAAGTGTCCCCCGGCCCCCACTTGCTGCCCCCACTCTCCTCCCCTGGCCCCAGAGACTGCGGCCCATGCTGACTCTGCTCTGCAGGCTCCCCGCATCAACTGCTGCTGCAGGGTCCTAGTGCCCCCTATTCACTAGCGGCAGGGCAGACTGCCCTTACCCTGTCCTTCTGCCCTAGCCCTGAGCCTCTCCAACACCCCAAACCCCCCAACCCCAGCCCCAGCCAGAGCCCTCATCCCCCTGCACCCTAATCCTCTGCCTCAGCCCTGAGCCCCCTCCCACACCCCAAGCCTCTCATCCTCAGCCCCACAGCCCTCACCCCTGCAGCCCCTCCTATCCCAAACTCCCTCCCAGCAGTTGTGGCTGTGCAGGCTGGAGAAGCAGAGATCCCCACCATGCAGGCAGGGACTCCTTCCCGTGGGGCCGGCCTGAGGGCAAATAGCACCCTGGGCGAGCTGCCTGCGGGAAGAGGGGACAAAACCCCACACAGACCTTTAAAGCCATTCAACCAATAGGAATGCAATATGCAAATAAACTAAAGTATGTCATCAGGCAATTAACATAAGAACCTAAGAACGGCAGGACTGGGTCAGACCAAAGGTCCGTCCAGCCCAGTGTCCTGTCTGCCGACAGTGGCCAGGGCCAGGTGCCCCAGAGGGAATGAACCGAACAGGGAATCATCCAGTGATCCTTCCCCTCGCCCATTCCCAGCTTCTGGCAAACAGAGGCTAGGGACACCATCCCTGCCCATCCTGGCTAATAGCCATTGATGGACCTATCCTCCATGAACTTAACTAGTTCTTTTTTTAACCCTGTTATAGTCTTGGCCTTCACAACATCCTCTGGCAAGGAGTTCCACAGGTTGACTGTGTGTTGGGTGAAAAAATGCTTCTGTTTGTTTTAAACCTGATGCCTATTAATTTCTTTGGGTGACCCCTAGTTCTTGTGTTATGAGAAGAAGTAAATAACATTTCCTTATTTACTTTCTCCACACCAGTCATGATTTTATAGACCTCTATCGTATCCCCTCCATGTCATCTCTTTTCCAAGCTGAAAAGTCTCAGTCTTATTAATCTCTCCCCATACGGCAGCTGTTCCATAGCCCTAATCATTTTTGTTGCCCTTCTCTGAACCTTTTCCAATTCCAATATATCTTTTTTGAGATGGGGCAACTACATCTGCATGCAGTATTCAAGGTGTGGGCGTACCATGGATTTATATAGAGGCAACGTGATATTTTCTGTTTTATTATCTGTCCCTTTCTTAATGATTCTCAACATTCTGTTCGCTTTTTTGACGGCCACTGCGCATGAAGTGGATGATTTCAGAGAACTATCGACCATGACTCCAAGATCTCTGTCTTGATTGGTAACAGCTAATTTAGACCCCATCATTGTATATGTAGAGTTGGGATTATGTTTTCCATTGTGCATTACTTTGTAATTATCAACATTGAATTTCAGCTGCCATTTTGTTGCCAAATCACCCAGTTTTGAGAGATCCCTTTGTAGCTCTTCTCAGTCTGCCTAGGACTTAACTATCTTGAGTACTTTTGTATCATCTGCAGATTTTGCCACCTCACTGTTTACCCCTTTTTCCAGATCATTTATGAATATTTTGAATAGGACTGATCCCAGTACAGACCCCTGGGAGACACCACTATTTACCACTATCCATTCTGAAAACTGACCATTTATTCCTACCCTTTGTTTCCTATCTTTTAACCGGTTACCGATCCATGAAAGGACCTTCCCTCTTATCCTGTGGCAGCTTACTTTGCTTAAGAGACTTTGTTGAGGACCTTGTCAAAGGTTTTCTGAAAATCTAAATACACTAGATCCACTGGATCCTCCTTGTCCACATGCTTGTTGACCCCTTCAAAGAATTCTAATAGATTGGTGAGGCCTGATTTCCCTTTACAAAAACCATGTTGACTTTTCCCCAACAAATTATGTTCATCTCTGTGTCTGACAATTTTGTTCTTTACTATCGTTTCAACCAGTTTGCCCGGTACTGAAGTCAGGCTTACCGGCCTGTAATTGCCGGGATTGCCTCTGGAGCCTTTTTTAAAAATTGGCATCACATTAGCTACCCTCCAGTCATCTGGTAGCTGATTTAAACGATAGGTTACAGACGACAGTGAGTAGTCCTGCACTTTCACATTTGAGTTCCTTCAGAACTCTTGGGGGATCCCATCTGGTCCTGGTGACTTATTGCTGTTTAGTTTATCAGTTTGTTCCAAACCCTCCTCTAGTGACACGATTGGCTTAGTTATTGGTGCTGTCACAGCTGCCCCTCCTCCAGCTCTCAGCTGTTCAAATCTGACTGCAAATCCCCCCAAAACCTCGAATCTGGGGGTTTCTTTTCTTCGAGCGGAACCATACAACCCGTATCCCTGCAGGCGACCCACGGCGGAGGGACTCGCTGAATAGAATTTTGAAAAAAGCGTGTTCTTTATTTTATTATTCTTTCTATTACAGTTGCATCTGGGAACCCCAGGCCCGGAGCAGGGCCCCATTCTGCTAGTCACTGGGCAGTGCAGACAAGTAAAACTTTCCCCATACGCTCAGACTCTAGGTGGTCTTTGGGAAGCTCTCGTGCAATTGCTGCGTTGCTGATCCGCGAGCTCCATCAGTCTTCTCCTCAGCTAGTCGAAACACAGACCAGCGGGTTGGCCCCCTTGCTCCGCAAGGATTTCCCATCTGAGGCCACGCTGGTGCCAGCTCTCGTTGCTCAGACTTTGGTGCTTTTGCCAAACGTATTTGTTTGTTTTGTCCCTGTAACAAATTAGTAGCCACCTAGGAACTTTGCTGAGGCAGCCGGGATCAAACTCAGGATGTGTCTACACAGCAAAGAAAACCCTCTGGCTGGCCAGTGCCAGCCCATGCGGGCTCACAGGGCTCAGGCTGTGGGGCTGTTCCTTTGCTGTGTAGACGCCCGGGCTTGGGCTGGAGCCCGAACTCTGGGACCCTCCCACCCTGCAGGGTCCGAGAGTTCAAGTCAGCTGGCACAAGCTGCGGGTGTCTAGCTGCTGTGCAGACATATCCTCAAAGTCTTTTGCTTCAAGTCCACAAGCCCCTAAGCTAAAGGAGAATCCCACTTCACTCTTAACAGTATAGACCCTATGACACACAGCTGAGGAGTTCTGATTCCATCCAATACAGGGCAGTGTAGAGTAGCAAGTAAGGGCTTGATTCTCCCATGTGCTTCATTCTGAACAGGCAGTATGTGTGTAAAACACATGCTCACACGCACACACACACAGAGCCCTTTCATAATGAAGCCCATGGGAGAATCAGGCCCTTGCTTGCTGCTTCACATTGACTGTCCTAGTCTGCTCGTAGTCCTACCCACAGTTCAGGTTCTCTAACACCTCCCATTATAAGGCCCTATTTTCAGTCGCTTATAACTTTGCCAAACTTCAACCATCCAAGCTGACATTTTCAAA